CAGAGACAGCTCCTGGGCTGCGCGGGCGCGGGAGGGTGCGTGCGTGCGCGCGCGTGGGCGGGTGCGCCGGAGCCGGAGCCGGGGCGGGGGAGCGCGCAAGGTGATTTACAAAGCGCTCTTGTAGCATTTTCTGATTAGCTGTTAAGTCCAAGCAGGGTCACATTCCAAAGAACAAAATCTTCGGATCAATAAAAGTAATTTGAAAGCCCGGAGATCTCTGGGTAAGTCGTTCTCAGTCAGAAAGCGAGTTAAACCGTCGTTGTTTAATAAGCTCTTAGCCAAAGACGATTCCATACACACTAGTGGCAAACGATTATGAAGATGAAAGATAAGGCGGCGGCTCAATCTGCAACAGCCTCAGTTCTCGATAAGACAAGCAGTGTCTTTCCGGCCCGATCAAAACCAGCTGATCCGCGATCAAAACACAAACGAGGCAACTCTCATTAAGGCGTTTAGCCAGACGCCGCCGTCCCGATGCGGATGCAGGTACCCGCGGCTGCAGTGCTTTGATTTTTAGCCTCCAAACAATTTTGCCACCACTTCTTGGTCTTATCTGCAGTTAGCCCGAACCGTGCAGGGAGGAGAAGGATCCACGAGCAAAAGAGGCTGAGTGATCCGAAACCCTCCGCTTTGTTTGTGTGTCGTCTCTTCTTGAAACTCCTCGTATGTTTGTTTATTTCACTTTGTTCTGGGATATGAAATCCTGACACTCACACGGGCAGAGCTGCTAGATACCAGAGACAGGGAAATCTTAGCAGTCTCAGGGAGAAATCCTAAGGGTTTTGCCCTGTCACTCATCAGATCCCTCCCCCACTTTCGTTACAATTTAGCTCCTATTAAAAGACAACGGGACAGACTGTGCTCTGTTACACCGCTGTAAAGCTGGAGGTTCACTCCATGGGCGTCAAAGGAGTCACTCCGGGTTGACTCCGGTGTGTCTGAAACCACAGCCGCTGGACACGGCCGGTTCTGCCCCGCCTTAGGCAGATACATAAAGCCTTTCTGAGCCTGCACACGGGGGGTTGCCTTTCCAGGAAGAACTAGAGCTACAAAAGCTACAACGCCACCCTCTGCCTCTGCCGACCCAGCCTCCCCGGCTCGTTGCCTTGCAAGCAGGCCCTTCAGTAGGATTTCGCTGCCTCCTCTGACACTCCTAGTCCCAGGGCCTGGTCTCAGCGCGGGGCTAAGCACTGGCCAGGCTGCTCCGCTTTAGGGGACCCAAGGAAACAACCTGGCGACCCCCCCCCGCGGCCGCGGCGGGAGGACGGGGCAGGCTCCCCGGGCGGTGGGCCGCGGTGTGCCTGTTATCTGAAGAGCCCGGCCTCGTGTTGGAAGAGTCTCGCTGTGTCCTCTGGACTGAGCATGAAGGCGGCCCTTTCGCCGGCGGGAGCTGCGCGTTGGTCACAGCGGTATGACCAGAAGCCAGAGCCGTTTGCCCCGTTTCCGCCGCATAAGGTGCCGTGCACGTTTGCAGGCCAAGCAGTGCTTCCTACCGAGACCCTAACTCTCGTTTCCTCTTGCGGGGGGTTTCTCCCCTTCCCAGTAATCCTCCTTGCCCGCACTCCCTGGCACGCCTGCGGGAATGGAGGTGACCCTTTGAGCCAAACCGCGCTGGGGATCGCAGTGATAGTCTAACCACAACGTTTGCTCTTTGAAATTCAGCCTGGGATTGGGGCGGATCTTGACATATTTCAGGTCGTTTGTAGAGAGGATAAAAACGTTAATAATGCAGTGAAGGAGGCAAAACCTCTCGTCCCCAACCTAAGGGGATGTCGCCTGGAGGTGGACTGTGCACGCTCGGTTGCAAGTGGAACGAAACCACAAGCTTCCTGCGGGCCCCGTCCTGGTTGGCAGACGATTTCCTTCCTCACTAGCAGCTGCGATGTAACGATAAGCGATGAACACCGCAATTAGTGGGCCAGATCCT